AGGAAATTCAAATGTAATGAAGAAAATTGTGGCAAAAGTTTTGGCCAGAAATCAAATCTAATTTCACACAAACGCATTCATTCGGGAAAATGTTTGTCATTTGTGTGTCATTTTAATGACTGTAATAAAACATATTTTTATAAATCAAATCTTAATAAACACATGAAAAAACATTCAAATAAAGAGCTATAAATTGAAAAACATTTAAATTGAAAGTAAAGAAATGAAAAAAGATTTAAATGAAATGAAAGAATCGTGGTTAAATATTTTCTCGGATAAATTAAATTTAATTTCACACCAATTTAGGCATTCGGGAGAAAAACCATTTGTTTGTCATTTCAATGATTGTAAAAAATGTTCACGTATCGGTTCTCTAACAGATCACATGAAAATACATAACAATGTAAATTAATAAATGTAAACTTTATTTATAATAACTGTAATCAACGGTTTGTTACGAGATATGAATTAACAAAGCATTTTAATTGCAAACATATTTTTCAAATGATTAAAATTATTGTAAATACAAAAAATAAATTTTTTTATTTATCTGACAATTTATTATTACTAATAAACTCTATAATTAATTAAACAAAACTATTTTATTGCAATTATTTGACCAAATGGTCACTCTTTGGGCGCATCCGTGCGGTCAATGCGAGCCATCGTTTTATAGAGCAAACCAATGGACTCGGAGTGGATATAACGGGTCAACTCATCTCTACTGACAACACGACCGCATTCTTCAAGTGCTGATCCATGAAAGACATGACCAGCGATGCCGTGGCCTTCAAAACCCACGGCGTGTCCACAACTGCCATATACTTGGGTTCCAACGGATAGTAGTTGTGAACATCGGTTTGAAAGTTAGACAACTGAATGCCAACGCTGTACAGACCGGCGCCCGTCTGGTCTACCACCAGAGCCTGACTCCCTGTCCACGCATTCAAACTGATAGATAGTCTCCGACCGACTAAGCGTCGGTCGCCGTACGGAATCTATCGTCACATCCACTGTCCAGACATTGTGTGTAATTTTGATTGACAAATAAATTAGTTTTCATTTCAATAAAAGTTTAAAGTAATTGTAATTAATTTTATTTATTTTTTGATATATTAATCATATTAAATAAATATTCCGTAAAATTAACATATTTTTTCGCAATAATGTTTATAATACAAATATTCTACCATCAACACTTAAATCAATAATAATTATTGTAATTTAAAAAATCATTAACATTATAAACATTATATTCATTAATTTCTCATAAGAGTTAATCAGTTTGTGTTGACTCAACGCCTGAAGTACTGATAGGCATCGGACGGACGGAGTGGACAATCTCTCGATGACGGCCCACACCTTCAGCCGATTTAAATCTTTTACCGCAATCTTTGCACTCAAAGTCGGGTTCAGTCGCCGCGTGGTGTAGGAGCTGATGGTAATCGCGTTGACGGCTTGTGTCAAACACTTTATGAAATTTACGGCATATCTCTGTCCGTCGAGACCACTGTCTATTGGGCTTAACAACAGTTTTAAGTGGCCTATGATGTGAGCGCTTGTGAGCACTCAAGTCATTCTCAGTGTTAAAGCAATGCTGGCATCGGTCGCAATAAAACAGCCGATGACTACCGATTTGGTGGACAGCTGTCCGGTGGGCGTCGAGATCGCACTTCCATACGAAGGGTTTGCCGCAGACATCGCACGCGTGACACGAGTCCTCACGGATGCCATCGGCGGACACTCGTATTGGCCGACTGGCGGTCGACTGGTGTCCACTCTCTTCGTCACTACTCGTATTGGAAATATTAATTGTAACAAAAAATGATGTCATATTGTAGTAAATGTGTCATATATTAACTGATATAATACTTACTTTACTCGTTTGTGCCCTGATTTTTGGCCAGCAATCTCTCTACTGACCGCCTGTGTTGGCCGACTGTCATACTCTTCGTGTCCATCATTCTCATCACTACTCGTATCGGAGATACTATTTGTGGCCAAAATTATAACATAATTAATGTGTTGTCTATTAACTGATATAACACTTACTTTACTCGCCGTCGTTTTGATTTGTGGCCAGCGGTGGGCCATAACGTGTGTTCACTCGTCTCTCTGTTGATAACAATAATAGTATTTTTCAATCATATGATTAGAGTCTCTATTTTTCGGGAATTCCCGATTTTCCCGAATTTTCCCGATTTTGGCACTTTTTGAAAAAATTTTCGATTTTGGTATTTTGTTAGAAAAACTCCCGAAAAGCCTTTATTTTATTTAAAATGGCCCGAAAATGTACTTTTTTAAAAAAAATCTTTTAAAAATACGGATTTTCAATCAAATTCCTAATGAATTTGCTGACAGAATACTAAAACTTGCTGCAAAATTCACATAATTTATTATAAATTTATTGTATATTATAGTAAAATATGATTATTAATTATTTTTCCTCAATAAATGTCATTATTTTGCTTCGTTAGTGCATGTAAACGTTTTAAAAATCACTTAAATACATAATTATCATATGAAAATCTAATAAAATCGTAATTCCCGAATTTTCCCGATTTTGGCCATGTATACTCCCGAATTTGTATGTTTTTATTCCCGAAAAATAGAGACTCTACATATGATATTAATTTTAATATTAAAATCATTTAAATTAACGCTAAATATACTATACTTGTGGGAAGTGGTCGGCAATGAACGGTGAGTGAGTGTATCGACCGGTTGTCCGCTATTATCGGTCGGCAAAACAGCAATCACTTCGAGATCAGAGTCAGAATCACTGGATATGTTATAAATATCCATCGGATCAGTGGAAATATGGTGTAAAATAGGCACGTGTTGGGAGAGGTTTATTGCCGTGTAAATTATAATCTATCCAATTGTTACTCATATACAGTATAGTAAATATTAATATAAGATGTGGTGATTAAACATATTTTAAAATAATAACTAATATTAAACTTATAATACAATTAAAGTTTGAAAGGAAGGTATGAAAAGAGGGAATATAATGACTAGAATGATAGTAACGATTAGTGTGAATATTAATTTTCAAATTAACCAAGGCAAAGCTACTGTATTATCACATCAACTTATAAACAGCTTTAGTAAAATCATGGTGTAAATTATCATTGAAATGAATGGTAAATAAAATACATGCAAACATTTGAATGAATGACAAATGAAAACTACCATGATTAAATGATAGATCAAATCAAATCAAATTTAAATAGTTATAAAAAAATTAGTAAGTAGTAATAATAAAGTTGAATTACATTCAATTCCATTATTACACTGATTTAAATATTAACAGTATTTTAAAAAGTGGTAAATCTTTGTGTTTTTATTTGTATCACATTTTTGGCAATTATAGCCATGGATTCGCTATTATCCAAGTCTTTAACTGATTGTCCGATCGCTTCGAGTGCTGTAAACCTCTTCTCCATATCATTCAACAAACCTTTCAATAAATTGCTTGGAATTAGCGGTCATTTTATGGAAAATGGATTTTTATATTTGACGACAAAAAGTCTGTTATATTTTGCACCGAATCTAATGTTACGGATAAACACATTAGAGATAATCTCATCATTAAATCCTTTACCGATGTTATTGTTTAACATTAATATTATTTAAATATTAATAACTTGTAGTATTTTTAAATAAAACTTATAAATATTGTATTAATTGAATTTTTATTGAAAACTCTAACTTTAGCTACAATTATGATAACTATACAATTAAATAAAGTTAAATAAAGTTAATTATGTTAATTATCGGAACTCTGTGTTGTGAACAGATCGGGTTCAGTGTTTTGGTTCATACAATAGGTGTTCACAAAATAGAGATTCGACTTAAATTTATAAAAAATTGTTTACAATTAAAAACTGTTGGAAATTATGCACAGAAAGAACTGATGGGTCGAACGGTTCGTACGGACGACCAAATCGGAGGACTCGGCGCTCAAAGCTCTCTACAAAGCCATGCGTTGGCGGATGTCTTACGGCGTGAACGACATCACAGACCAGTCCTCAGGAGAAGAGATGTATCAGACGGACGAATACAGTCAGTACTGTCGCGACCGGGAGGACCGGCCTGTCATGTAGTCGCGGGTCGTACGCCATCACAAGTGCGGCTCCGGTGGCCGCGATTGAGATCAGCTCTTCAAACGATTTGTTGTCTATCAGTTTGAACGCGTGGACAGGGAGTCAGAGCGGGAGGGCTGGGCTCTGGTTGTGAACCAGACGGGCGCCCGTCTGAATGCGGTCGTGTTATCACTAGAGATGAGTTGACCCGTTATATCCACTCCGAGTCAATACCCGTCCACTTGAAAGGAAAGTACGATAAGTCGGTGGTTATTGTTTGGCCCGTTGTGTTCACCATTATTAATAAATTGTTTATTTAAAATTAAGACTTTGATATTTTGAAATTTAAAAAATTGTCTACGATAAATTAGGATAATACTATACTTTAGGTTTATAATAAATTATATTCACAATAATATTTAAAAATTATTAAACATGTTTGTGTTTTTGGTTTAAATGTTGTGTTAATTCACTTGACGTAACAAACCGTTGATTACAGTTATTATGAATACATTTATGGTTTTTTATATTCAAATCTCTCTTCATATGTAAGTTTAGAGTATCATACATCTTTGTGAAAAACATTTTTTACAATCATTGAAATGACAAACAAATGGTTTTTCTCCCGAATGAATGCGTTTGTGTGAAAGTAGACTGTTTTTTTGTATAAAATTTTTTGCCACAATTTTCTTCATTACATTTGAATTTCTTTTCATTCAAATGAACACAACTTTTGTGTTTAAGTAATTGACAATTGTTTGTAAAACTTTTGTGGCAATCATTTAAATCACAAACAAATGGTTTTTCTCCCGAATGGCTGCGTTTGTGTTGATTTAGTTCAAAATTTGTAGTAAGTTTTTTGTCACAATTTTTTCATTACATTTAAATGAATGCTATTTATATGCTTTTTGAGATCGCCTTTAAGTTTGTAACTTTTTTTACAATCATTGAAATCACACACAAATTGTTTTTCCCCCGAATGCGTCCGTTTGTGTTGATTTAGATCGGAATTTGTATTGAATTTTTTGCCACAATTTTTTTCATTAGATTTGAATTTCCTTTCATTCAAATGAACACGATTTTTATGTTTAAGTAAATCCGAATTTGTTTTATAACTTTTGTGGCAATCATTGAAATCACATACAAATGGTTTTTCTCTCGAATGTATGCGTTTGTGTGAATTTAAATGTGAACTGCATTGGAATTTTTTGCCACAATTTTTTTCATTACATTTGAATTTCCTTTCATTCAAATGAACATAACTTTTGTGTTGAAATAAATTAGAATTTGTTGTAAAACTTTTGTGGCAATCATTAAAATCACAAACAAATTGTTTTCCTCCCGAATGCGTCGGTTTGTGTGGAATTGTATCAGTATTTCCACCAAAACTATCGGCGCTTTCGACACTGTTTTGTAATAAAATATGGATTAGTTTTTTAAAGTACATGAATATGTAAAATGCGTACGCATTGGATGTGTTGTCCACAGAGACTGTGGATCCGTTGTTTTCACTAGTTTTAGATGCCATGCGTTTAGACACGTCTCGCCTTAAACCGTATGAGTGGTCACTATTGCCGTCGAAATCGCTATTAGTGTCCGAATCGTTGGAGTCGTCGCTGCGATCGTCCGGTAAACGCTTTTTGTGGCGCCTGTAGTGCCCGCGCGCTAAGTGTCGGCCCCTTTGTGGACCGATATTCTCCGGAATCGACTTTTTGGTCACTTCTTCGCCACTATTTATGTAATTAATAAACAAAACACACATAAAAACAATGTAATCGTATATATAATGACATACTTGTGGTCAGAGATGATTGTTGAGTCACTGTCTGTATTGGAAACTAATTGGTCACTACTGTCCACCACATCCGCCGGTGCCGTCAATTGTGCGCTCAACTCTTGACCACTGTTCCCACCGACTATCTCTTCATTAATAGCCACTTCTTCGACAGTATTTGTGTCCAAATACCACGTGTGCTCATCCTGAAAGTCCGGCACCGGCTGTGACAACGGCTCAGTCAATGGTTCGGCGCTCAACACATGTAACTCTTCAGTCGGGTTCGGGGGCACCGGTATGTGGCGGTCGGCGTGAATGGGCGGCTCCCGTACGTCTATCGCTTTGAGCCGATTATCGTCGGGAAGCCGTTCGGACTCAACCCTCCGCTCGCACTGACAGTACGGACACCGGTTTTGGTGGACGTGTTTATGCTTCTCGAGTATCTCTTCGGTGACAAACATAGCGTAACAGCCCTTGAAATCGCATTTGTATTCATACATCGTTTGCACCATTTTTGACTCGACGGCCACTTCTTGGTCCCCATTTCTGTTGACACCGACTGTCTGTAGACTCGGATACGTTAGCAGAGGCTTAACATCGATCAGTGTTGGGTCAGTGGAGGGGATATTAGAAATACTATCACTGTTTAAATGAATCAATAAATACAATAATGAGTAAATATAGGCAAAACATTGTCATATATCGGGTATCAGGTATTTGTTAAAGTCTTACGTATCGCTCACAGCGCCGATCAGTGGCTTAAAGTCGGCGCAATAGGCGGCCGTCCTGTCCATCAATGCCGCGAAACGTGTTTCGCAAAACGTGTCGTCGGAAAGCGAGTCGTCGCTGAAATGGCCAAACATGGGGTCAGAGTCACCGCTAATTCAACGATAAATTTTAGCGACAATAAAGGCATACCTGTTATCGATGTCGGCGTCCATTTGTGCTAAACCAACGGCACTATCGCTGCGATAGTAAATAAAAGTGAAATAAAAATATTCAAAACTTATCATAAGATTTATATTATAAATAGAGCTAAAAAGGGATAAAAATAGTTTAATTGTTGTAATTTTCAAGAAATACGAGACTAGTGTTCGCTAAATACCTAACAATCAAACCCGATGTTCGGATTTGGGTTTAACAAAAATAACATTTACAATAATTATAATTTATTTTAAAGATATTACAAATATGAAACCTTATTTGAATAATAAATCAGACAATTATTTATCTATAAAACCAAAAACCCTTTTGAATAGTTAATTCCGAACCCGAGTATAGGGTTTAATTGTTCGGTATTTAGCGAACACTAGTCTCGTATTTTTTGAAAATTACAACAATTAAACTATTTTTATCCCTTTTTAGCTCTATTTATATACAGATTTAATCAAGATTTAAACACACAATCAATAAATTGCATAAATCAATGGCTATTATATACCTGTTGTTTGGATCAGTGATTGAGTGCACCGGTGGGCCAGTCGTGGGCTCTACAAGTCGATCATCAGCTACTGTAGTATCCATAGGAATGGGCGCCTGAAGTGTCTCCGCCGGTGTCACTGTTTTGATATCAACACTGACTGTCACTTTAGACTTTGCAAATGGCAGACACTGGCCGTCAGTCGTATGTCTGGTCAATGATTGGTCGCAATTGTGGCGCCGATATTCAGCCACTATTTCAAGTCCAATGTTTTCATCACTACTCGTATCGCAAATCCTAATTGTGGTTAAAAATTATGAGACAATTAATGTTTTGTTAATTAACTCATTATTCACAACAATTACTCAATATATTTCTGGTCTAATGTGTGTCCAGTGGTCGGCACTGGCTTTGTATGGACGGTGTGTTTTGGCTCCGGTTTGACGACTAATACTTTGAGATCAGGTTTTAGATCACTATAGATATAGAAAGTAAACACACAATCAATTGATGGCTTAAATCAATGGCTATATAAGAATTAAAATATTCAAAACTTATTATAAGTTTTATATTATAAACAGTACTTATAATAAACTTTTAGAAATATGTGTAAAATATTTTGCAATGAATTGAAGCACTGAATAATATGACCTCTCTTTCAGTGATGTACAGAATATACTGTACTAAGGATTGGGTCCATAAGTATTGCACTTTCTGATGAAATGCTGTTGAAATCGTGTCTATGTCTGCAAATGCTGTGTTAACTAGGGTTGGCAATATTACAAACTATGTATTATACCTACTTATTTTATGTTCTATTACACGTTGTATTTTATTTATTCTAAGTTGTCATTTTGTAAAATACGTTTTATAAAAATAATCACTGATTAAAATGAGTAAATCAAAGTCAAAATTAATTGTTTGGCACTATTTTACAAAAAAATTCAAAATCAATGGGTGAATCACCAACTCGTATGAAACGTTATTTTCTTATAATAGAACCCAACTATATATAAATTTAACAATAATTATAAATATAGAAATTATTAATATGGGGGCCCAACCATTCTTTACATTATTCATAGCTGAATTGTGGTTAACAATTTATAGTATATTACATTATAATAAACCACATTATTTATAAATGTTCTACCACTTAGTGGTTAGTGAAAATAATACAATTAAATATTTAAATATCTTAATTTTGATCTATAAATTATGTTCCGCCATAATAAGTAAACATCTCACACAATCTATACAATACATTAATCACAATTAGGATGATGCTCAAAGAATACATAAAGTGTGACACAACGATCCTATAAACCACATTTATCATATATGAATTGTGATTAAAAACACTTAAAAATATGTTTCTATTTTACAACATAAAATACATAGCTTCAAAAAACATTTGTAATTTGCCAACCTTAGTGTTCAAACGAAAAAATGTAGACTAATTTATGATAACTGGTGTTTCAGGAGAGAGAGGAATATACTGTAAAGCCTAGGAATGAGTGTTGAATTGAGCGTCGATTCCGTTCCCTCCCTTTGAAAACACTTTTAAATATTTTTATTACTTCTAAGAATTGAAGTCAATATAACATAACATAAGGAACCAGTGTTTGAAAGTCAATGCATTCAATGCTAACCTCTTATTGTTAGACATTTTTTGTCGGAAAATCACTTGCATTGCAAACAAAGGAGTTATCAGTTCTCATATTCAACACAAACTATCACTCAATTTGTTTCAATCCTTTTGATTGCATTTCATTTGTGTTCAAATTAAAATCAAACGTAAGTTTTAATTGTTCTCTTATATCGCAAACTATAAAATAATTACAATATCTGTTTAGTATTTCGCACAAACTTTTGATTTCATTTTACATTTTATTCTCTCTCTCTCTCTCTCTCTCTCTCTCT